CCCAACATCCTTAACAATGAGAAAGATGCAAATTAAACTCACAATGAGATATCAACTACATACCTATCAGAACTGCTAAAATAAAAATTAGTGACAACACCAAATGCTGAGAAGAATATGGAGACATTGACTCACTCATGCATTGCTGGTGAGAATGTGTAATTGTACAGTCACTCTGAAACATAGTTTGGCAGTTTCTTATAAAACAAGATATGCAATTATGATATGCCCTAGCAATCACATTCTTCATCTTAGCAAAATGAAGACTTATGTTCATACAGAAACCTGTACACAAATGTCCGTGGAATATTTATTTGTCATAGCTAAAAATCTGGGAGACACCCTTAAACAGGTAAATGTTTAAGCAAACTATAGTACACACACACCACTCAACAATAAAAAAGAATGAACTATCAATACACTCAACAACTTGGATGATACCCAGAGAGAAAAAAGCCAATTCCAAACAGTTACCTACTGTTTGATTTCATTTATATAAAATTTTAGAAATGACAAAATATTGGAAATGTTGGACAGATTTGTGGTACCAGTGGTTAGTGATTGTAATGATGGGACATGAACCTATAAAAGCAATATATATATATATGTATATACACACACATGTGATACACATATCTCTGTATCTGTATGTCTGTGTGTTTGTTCTATGAAATATGCATATAATCTGATACACATATATATGTATCACATATATACATATATGTATTACATGTATATCACATATATTTCATAGAACACACACACACACATACACACATACAGATGAATACATTTAAAACTGGGGAAGTTTGAAAAAATTGGTGGATTTTATCAATAAAAATATGCAAATTGTCTTACTATAGTTTGTCAAAATGCTACTATTGAGGAAACTGGGTAAAGGGTACAAGAGATCTCTCTGTATTATATATTACAACAATATGCATGTCTACAATTATTCAATAAAAATTTTGATAATAAATAATGTGTCAGGATGTGCCCAGGTATGGCTCTAAATATCATGCTCTACTAAAAGGAACCAGAGGTCTTCGGAGGAATATGTGATTCCAGGAATCAGATGGCAAGAATAAAAGGTACAAGGAGATACTGGGGCATCTAGTTGTTCCAGGAAACAAGGAAGTGCCCAAAGATTAATGGAGAAATGCAAAAGGATACAGGAATCAGTTTGAAAGAAATCCCATGGGTCAAAATTGGGATAATTTGATTACTTACTTAATGACTGCAAATTATTAAATGAATAAAAATCCATGAATCCAAAGTTATACCCAGAGAAAGATAAAGATAGAGGGAGAATAATGTTTCATAATAATGTTTCATAATCTGAGATTTCTATTACTCCAACTCTTAGCAAACTGATAATTAAAGGAAAAGAATTAAGCACATACCAGGCCTTTAGGGGAGAAAAAATAGTCCATCCACAGTTGATGAGGAAAAGCTCATCTTTATGGGTGAATACCAGCTAATAAAATATAAGAAAATTCGGAATTAGAAAAGCATCATTTCATAATGTAACAACAGTGAAATAATTGGTTCAGTCAAAGATTACTGACAGATTCCAAAACCAGCAGGAAAAATATCGTAAAGGAACAAGATACTTACACTGTGTTAAAATAATATCCGTCAGATTGAGGTGGGAGACCAACAGGGCTTGTTTTCTGGTCACAATCCTGCTGACCAAAACAGGATCTACTCCAGATGGGATGAAGCGAAGAAAGCAATCCCTAACTGCCCTCACTGCTTATTAGCATAAGACCAGCACCATGACAGTTTACACTTGCCATGGCAACAATCCAGAAGTTATCACCTCTTCCCTAGAAAGTTTTAAATAACTCAGCCCTCAATTTGCATTGACCTCCCCCTTAATTTGCAGGCAATTGAAAGTGGGTTCCTGTAAGTATAAATACAGTTGCCAAGAGCATCATGCTTTGCTGAGATAGCTATGCTCTGAGAGGAGCACTATGTTCAATAGAAGATTGCTAGCTAACACTACCAGCCAACCCTTGAAATCTTTCCTGGGTGAAGGAAGGATTTTTGGTTCAGTCCCAATTTGGGGCTTGCCTGTCCTGCAACAAGATTACTTGCTTATTGCAAAGGGAAGACCATGCTTTCATAATAGAAAAACATATCAATCACCACTTTAGTGAAGAGATAACATTTAGTTTTATTACTACTGGGATAATTTGATATCACAAACCTCTGATGTGATGAAATATGAAGTATGCAATACCACCTATGAGGCATACCTGCCAAAATGTGTAACTTGAATTTAAGTAAGCCTTTAGATGTGACTTTTAGTTGTATAGGAAATAGTTGTATAATGACACAAGAAACAATCAGACAAAATCAGTAGATAACTGGCATGGTCTATTAAAATAAATGTTGGTGAGATTATTCTAGATTGAAGAGACTAAAAAGACATATCAACTGAATCTGATGTGTAAATACTAATTAGACTCTGTGTTTGGGGAAGAATCATCTTATGAAACACATTTAGAAAACAATTGGGGAAATTTAAACATCTATTGGGAGTTAGATAATATTAGGAAATCATTATTGATTTGTAGGTGTGAAAATAATATTGTGGCTATATAACAAATTATGTCTTGATTGTGTACCTAGAAAACCCTGAAGATTCTTCCAAAAAACTCCTAGATTTTATAAAGGACTTCAGTAAAGTTTCAGGTTACAAAATTAACATACAAAAATCAGTTGCAGTTCTGTACACCAACAGTGTTCAAGCTAAGAATAAAATCAAGACCTCAATTCCATTTACAATATACACACACACAAATAAAACACCTAGAAATACATTTAAGCAAAGAAATAAAAGAGCTCTACAAGGAGAACTACAAAATACTGTTGAAAGAAATTGTAGATGACACAGCAAATGAAAAACATCCCATCCTTATGGATTAGAAGAATTAATATCATGAAAATGACCATACTGCCCAAAGTAATCTACAGATTCAATGTAATTCCTATCAAATTACCAGTATCATTTTTCACAGAATTTGAAAAAAAATTCTAAAGTTCATATGGAACCAAAAAAGAGTTTGAATAGCCAAAGCAGTCACAAGCAAAAAGATGAAAGTCAGAGGCATCACATTACCTGACTTCAAACTATAACTACAAGCCTATAGTAACCAAAACAGCATGATACGGGTACAAAAATAGACACATCAATAAAACAGAGCAGAGAACTCAGAAGTAAAGCTACGTAGCTATAACCAACTGATCTCCAACAAAGGCAACAAAAATAAACAGTGGGGAAAAGACACGCTCTTCAATAAATGGTGCTGGGAAAATTAGCACCATACACAGAAGAATATGGATCCCTGTCTCTCACCACACACAAAAATTAACTCAAGATATATTAAAAGACCTAAACATAATACCTAAAACTATAAAAATCCTAGAAGAAAGCCTAGGGAAAACGTTTCTGGACGCTGGCCTAGGCAAAGAATTTATGACTGAGACCTGAAAAGCAAATGCAGGAAAAAGAAAAATAGACAAATGGGACTTAATTAAACTCCAGAGCTTCTGCACAGGAAGAGAAGCAATCAACAGAGTAAACAGACAACCTGGAGAATAGGAGAAAATATTCACAAACAATGCATCTGGCAAAGACTAATAGCCAGAATCTATAAGGAACTGAAAAAAATCAACAAGAAAAAAATACCCAAATAACCCCATTAAAAAGTGGGCAAAGGACATGAACAGACATTTCTCAAAAGAAGACATACAAATGACCAACAAATACTTGAAAAATGCTCAGCATTGCTAATCATGGGAGAAATGTAAATTAAAACCACAAGGAGAGAGAGACCATTTCACAGCAGTCAGAAAGGCTATTAAAAAGCCAAAAAATAACATGTTGGCAAGGATGCAGATAAAGGAAAACGTTTATATCCTGTTGGTGGAAATTAGTACAACTTCTATGGAAAGCAGTATGGAGATTCTTAAAGAATTAGAAATAGAACTACCATTTGACCCAGCGATCTGACTACTGGGTATTTACCCACAGGAAAAGAAATCGTTACATCAAAAAGACACTTGCACTGATATGTTTACTGCAGCACTATTCACAATAGTGAAGTCATGGACTTTGTGTCCATTGACAGATGACTAAAGAAAGAAAAATATGCTACATTTACACCATGGAATACTACACAGCCATAAAAAAGAATTACATTATGTATTTTGCAGCAACATAGATGGAGCTTGAAGCTATTATCCTAAACAAAATACTCAAAAACAGAAAATTAAATTCTCACCCTTAAGTGGGAGCTGAACAATGGGTACACATGCACACACAGAAGGAAATAATAGACACGGGGACTACAAAAGCAGAGAGGGTGGAAGGGAAATGAGAGTTGAAAAAGTACCATCTGAGTACGATGTTCACTCGTTGAGAGATGGGTACACTAGAACCCCACACCTCACCATTACACAAACATATCCATGTAACAAACCTGCACATGTACCACCGAACTTATCAAAATAAGTAAATAAATCATCTTGAGCTTCAAAAAAGAGAAATTATGTCTTTATTCCTAGAATGCGAGTGCTGAAAAATTGAGACAACATGACATTAATGTATGTATCTTACTTTAAATGTTTTTGAACAAACGTATACACATATGCATGCATATAGATACATACGACATCATTGAATCCAGGCTGTGGGTAGATGGATGCATCTCTGCTTAAATCCCATGTGTGTGGATGTTACTACTTAGCTCACAAGAAGCAGCTTTCCTAAGTCTCTTCACTGTTTTCCAAGGTGCTCACTGCACCCTAGAAAAGAGGATCTGTGCTCATTTTGTGGGGTCTCTCCTCTGACCATGCCCAACGATCAACCAAATCAATCTCCAAAGAACAAAGTCTCCCCTTCATATTCATGCCTGCCAGAGCTATGGAGCTATGAATTTGCTCTTGGCACAGATGCAAAAATAAATGTACGGTTTCTTCTTTTACCTCTTGTCCTTAGAAGATGGATTTAAATACGTGACTTTTTTCATCTGTATTGAGGTTAACATTCAGTTTCTCTGGTTGGGTTCCCTGATGGAACATACTGTTGTGGGTCATCATATTTACTACACTCAACTTTGGTACAACTACTTACACACCACACATTCTCACCTCCCAAGGCTTTATGTATGACTCTGCCTCTTCTATAGTAGATGAATAATTCTTTTCTTAAGCTGATCTACCTACTGCTGCATGCTAACTAAAAGGTCTACTGTATTTTCAGTGTTTCAATATGTTAAGGTTAGGCTGATGATTTGAATCAACAATAGAAAATAGCATTTAGGAGAAGGGGCAACCGATAGGCTCAGTCAGAATTTCAGGCCAGCAAAGGCTGTTGTGATAGGGTCAAGGGAAGGGTCTCTTTACATCACATTCAACAAGTGGCCAATCCTGCCGGCGCAGACAAGGAGGCTGCTCAGTGACTGACGAGGAAATGGGGGTAGGGGCGTGGGCACGCGCTCCGGAGGCTGCAGGCGCCATGGGCAGAGTCGGGAACCGCGCTCACCAGCTGAGGCGAAAGCGGCCCGGGGATCCTCCCGCCGCCTGCGCAGCCGTCGCAGTCATGGGCGCCAGCCGCGCGCAGTGCCCCCGTGTCAGATTCGGGGTCGTGAGTCACTTGGCGGCCAGGAGGTGGCTGGGAAGGTCGCGGCGGAGGCGCCGGTGGCGTCGGGTCCGGGAGAAGCGCCCCAGAGACCCGCTACCCTCCGCGCCAACCGCGGACCCACCGGCGCCAGCTGAGTCCTCCCAGGACCTGGACCTGGGCGCGCAGCGGGAGCGCTGGGAGAAGTTCAGGAAGCTGTGGGGTCTCAGCTGCGAGGGCGCCGCCAAGGTCCTGCTGGACACCTTCGAGTACCCGGGCCTCGTGCATCACACCGGGGGCTGCCACTGCGGCGCGGTCCGCTTTGCGGTCTGGGCCCCCGCAGATCTGCGCGTCGTGGATTGCAGCTGCAGGCTGTGCAGGAAGAAGCAGCACCGCCACTTCCTCGTCCCGGCCTCGCGCTTCACGCTGCTCCAGGGCGCGGACAGCATCGTCACCTACCGCTCCAACACGCACCCGGCGCTGCACAGCTTCTGCAGCAGGTGCGGGGTGCAGAGCTTCCACGCCGCGGTCTCTGACCCCCGCGTGTACGGCGTCGCCCCGCACTGCCTGGACGAGGGCACCGTGCGCAGCGTGGTCATCGAGGAGGTCGGCGGTGGCGACCCGGAGAAGGAGGACGCCGAGGAGCACAAGGCCATCCCCAAGACGTCCTCCCGGTCAGTCCCTGCCTGTGTCCGCGAACAGCAACAGTGACTGTCCGCGCAGAGAGGAACAGCGCAAGCACGCCCGAAACCCGCCGGCCGGCCGGCCCCGCGCGGAGCCCCCGACTACCTGCACAGATCACACGCTGTGAACGAGGTGTTTCTGGCCTGGTTAAACCGTGGTTTCCCTTCCAGGGTTTGCCCTTCCCCTCCGCTAGTTTTCAGTGAACTCGCTTACGTTCCAAACCTTGAACACAACTTTAATCTTGTGTACAACGTTACCCTTGCAATCCCATTAGCAAGAAGAGTGTCTCTGCTTTTTCTAGCCATCCGTTGACTGTGTCTCTCGCTTTTACTGTTCTGCATACGGTTGTCACAAATCACCTGCAGATGATTCCCGTGTCCTGTACGTTCCTGGTGCTATTGTGAACAGGCTTGTTTTCAGCGCTTTGCGTCTGGTGTGTAGGACGGCAACACACAAACAGTTTGTAAACACCTTGCCAGGACGTCTTCCACTCGTTATGGTGTGTGTGTGCGCATGTGGGTGTTTTAGACAGACATTCACGTTTTCACTACTTAGACATCCAGTTATTTAATGTTTTATATGATATATTTTAAGATTCATTAGTATTGCATACCTCATTGCTCTTACTAAACAAATGATGTTAGCGTTTTTCTCTGTTTTGATTCAGAAACTGTCTCTGGGAAGGGAGATGGGAGACAGGAATGAGAAACGTCTATGTGCTGTTTGCCCTCTTTAATCTTTGTAAATACCTATCTTATACATGTGTTAAGTATTCAGAAATTAGTAAACATTTAATAAATAGAAAAGTATGTATTTCTATGCTGTATATTACAAAATCAGCTCTAATTTATATGTAATTCTTGATATCTGAAATTTTTATCAAACCTCAGTGGTGAGTTCAATGATACATATCAATATTATCATTTTATGGCTTCATAGAATTAAAAAATATGGATCTTTCATAATTTATGTAATCAACCTTCTCTGATGGATGTTTAGCTTTTTGCCAACTTTCAGTGTAATAATAATAGTTCAAAGGCGCAAACTTCAAATAAATGTCTGCATTGTTGTACCACTCGGGTAAACCTGCCTGGATAATCTTTCCATATTTTATTTGCTGTCTGTTTCTCCTCGGTACATGTTTCATTAGAATTGTTTAACTTGGTTTACCTTTTAAACACAGCGAAAGCAGATCAATTAAGTGCTGTGCTGGTGAGAAGGAATGGGAGCGGGGCCCAACCCTGAGGAAGAACAAGCTGTTGGTGAAGGGGGTGACTGAGAAAGAAATGAAGAGAAAGAAAAGCAGTGAGCACCTTAGATCCAGCAAGGAATATAGGGGAAAGGAAGAGGTGTTTAAGGGAGTCTTTGGGGGGTTTTACCACAGGTTGCAGGAAGTCAGTATTTTTCCCAGTATTTCCAAAGGAGGCTTTAAAGTTAATGTTACTTTATGTATTAGCTGTCCTTTTTCTATTGCATAAAAGTATGTCCTGCACTTCAAAATAGTAAATGAATATTTGTGAGCCATGGATGACAGTGGCCAGTGTGCCATGCTTCAGGCATCTCCTACTTCAAGGAAAGAGCAAGGGCTTGGCATTTGAGCCTGGGCTGAAAACCCAACTCTTCTACATACTACTGCCCAGTTTTGTAAAATCTGTAAAAATACAGAAATTAGCTGGGTGTGGTGGTGGGCGCCTATAATCTACTCAGGAGGCTGAGGCAGGAGAATTGCTTGAACCCTAGAGGGGGAGGTTGCAGTGAGCCAAGATGGCGCCACTGCACTCCAGCCTGGGCAACTGAGCGAGACTCTGTCTCAAAAAAAAAAAAAAATGTGTAAAACACCACCCTCATCTTCATTGTGGGAATGAAATGAGGATGTGTCTGCAATCTGCTGGCACAGTGGCTGACGCCCAGCAGACACTCAAGAATTTGCTATGATGATTGCTCTTATTAGGTGAGGACACTGAGGAATAGAACAAGGGTCATGATTGAACTCAATCCTAGGATTTAGATACTTTCATGGATATCCTCTCAGGTGCTATTTTTTTGGCACTTAAAGTGAGAGTTAGATCAATCCAGTGACAGGGTAGGAGGAACAGGAAGTAAGTCCGTAGGGTGCTGCATGATCTTTTTCCTCTTAACTGATTTATCAGACAAGATCCACTGTTTCTTGCCTATCCTCATTCATCCTTGCTGGTGATGAGGGGGAACCTCATCCTCTCCCACCTCATATCCTATTCTCTGCCAGCCTTCCTCCACTTTATGCATCCCAGGTGCCTGGCACTGTTTTTCATGCTAAGATAGAGCGTCGAACAAAAACCAGTCTCTAGGCCCTATCGCTTCCATCTAGTGGATGAGAAAGAGAACTTTCAGCCTCCAAACAGTGTGACTAGGAAAAAGTGGGGTGCCGTGGGAGCACAGAGGAGAGGCCAGTTAATAAGTTCATTCTTTTGCCAGTTAATAAACTTATTTGGGCCTCAGTTTTGCTGTCCTCCTCTCTAAAATTGTTATGATAATAACACTCATCTCCTAATCTTGTCGTCTCTCCAGGATGACATACACAGGAACCTAAAGAGACCAGCCATGGCCAGGCATGGTGGCTCACGCCTGTAATCCCAGCACTTTGGTAGGCAGAGGCAGGTGGATCACAAGGTCAGGAGTTCAAGACCAGCCTGGCCAAGATGGTGAAACCCCGTCTCTACTAAAAACTACAAAAATTAGCTGGGTGCGGTGGCAGGCACATATCATCCCAGCTACTTGGGAGGCTGAGGCAGGAGAATTGCTTGAACCCGGGTGGCAGAGGTTGCAGTGAGTCAAGATCACCCCATTGCACTCCAGCCTGGGCGAAAGAGTGAGACTCCATCTCAAAAAATAAAAAATAATAATAAAAAAAGAGGCCCCATGTTATAGGTGAAACCATTAGCTCTGTGTCCTGTGTTAGTCACATGTCAGCATGGAGGGGAAGGGAAGCATTACGGGAACCCTAGGAATCTGGTCTGCCCTGGAGTCATAGGTAAGGAAATGGGAGGTGGAGGCAGGGTTGGTGCCATTTCCATCTTCTCCTCTATCTCTTCACATCTACTGAAAAGGCTTCTTTTATGTATTAGGTGTTCTGCGCTATGAGGACTTATAATTACATTATTAGGTGACTAAAGTTAGTCCTCACAGGCTAGGCTATAGAAGGTGGTACCAGCAGTAGTATATCGCCCTCCAGTGGACGTTATAAGTAATAGCACATTGTTGGATGATTTTACTGTTAACCCTTGAGAAATTCAAAGGGGATGGGGTGACGCTTGCTTCCTCAGAGTCTCTAGGAAAGAAGCCCAGTAGTTAGGATGCCTTCCTCTATAATAAGCATTCTAGAAATTACAACCAGGAAGAATAGAATCAAGCAGAGAAAGAGTCACTGTTTTTTTCTGTGTCCTTTTTATGAAATAAGGCATTTTTCATAAAATCATTGCTCCCGTTTTATTTCCAGTTTTCTTTTCTTGTGCTAAATGACATCTTGGACTATTTAGAATATTAACAATAGAACCTACATCAGTGAATTTCCAGCATCTAGTCATGTCCAATCAGGCAGCTTTGACTGTGATAGATGAACTTACAATAAAATAAATTATATTAACAACAAAGATAAAATACTCAAAACAAATGGATTCCTATTTCTCTTGTTACATTTTACTATTATCTATGTTCTTGAAGGTATTCATGTTTTTCATCTGTACCGTGGAAGTCTTGTGGAATAGCGTGCCCCTGCTCATCTCTTCTCAGGCGTGTATTCAGTGACTTCACATGGTGGGGGAATTTACAGCAGCAAGAAATCAGGCCTTCATTTGTTGTTATGTTGCTTGGCTAGAATTCATGAAATTATGTAGGAAATGTTAATAATACTGATTAAACTTTAATGTGTTTTGTGTCTGTAGCCATTACATTGTGAATAGATTAGCATACAAAATTGAGAAACTATTATTTTTGTATTTAAAAACCATTGTTCAATTTGCCAAGGAAGTCACTAGAATCATTGTTGAATAAGTGAAGTTCTTGATGAATAAACGAAGTTCTGTACGGTTCTTTGTTGTTTGAGTCTTTACTTGTTAACATAAATAAGTTAAAACCCAAAATTCATGTTAGAACTCCACTTGGAGAGATGCTTGCTAGGTATTTATCAGTATATATCTGGCCAATCAATACCTTCAACACCCCCTGCATCCCACGCACACCAAATGCCCTGGTCTCCTAGCACTGACAAGTGGTTCCAGAGCAGTGAACTTTGCAAGTGACATCGGAAGGGATGGTTAGAGAAAATGGGACATAAGGCCTTGAAGCAGGGAATGGGAAAGGCAAACTGAGGATGTGATGAAGGGGTGGAGGAGCTAGGCCATTTCTATGAGTACACATGTGTGAGAATATATAGCTAATGTTTACTCAGAATGTGTTTCTTTACAAACTTCAATGCAAAATCCGTGCATATTCAAGGATATACATTTGTACATGTATGTACATAAATAGGCATTCAAGCACATAACTACAATCGATTTAATCAATTTTATTTATTCATTTTTATTTTTAAATATTAAATACTTTTATTTAGAAGTTCTGGAGAATGAGTCACTTTTAACTGACAGAGTAATGAGACCTCAATTGCTAGACACGCAGCAGACTGGTTAATAGGAGTGAACTTGCTTGACTGTTTTCTCCCACATGAAAACTTTTCATCACCTCCAAAACTTTCATATTCTAAGAATGTAGCACCACTGTGTCCTTTTAAATCCCCTTACACTTCCGTATGCTACACACACACACACACACACACACACACACACACAAACATAATATGCTGACATATACTCTCTTTTGTGCCCAATTTTGTGAACCTTCTTAGGTTCAATGCAATGAATACGAAGAGCTTATATTCTTAACAGCTCTACCGTGGTCCTTTCCTAGTTTGCTTAAATTCTTTTAACTGTTACACCAAGACACCAAATCTCAAGAGACAAGTGACTTTCCAGAAGTCACGTGACGCCTCTCATTCGGAAATACTCACATTTTATGGAACTTGATTTACCCCAATCCATTTCTTTACATGTGAAATGGGAGAACAAAATCAACCTCCGAATTGTGAGAATTAAATTAAAAGATGAACATGAAACACCTGCTATACTGCCCTGTTGCCACCAGCCTTGTCCCGCTGCTCTAGCTCCTGTGGCACTGCGTGGACACGTGGTTGCTACAACTTAGTACTCCTATTAGAGGCATTTTCTTATTGTAACTGAAGGGATAGTTGGTCTAAATCAATTGAAGTACCAGCATCAGGACATCCCAGCTTCAATGGCTTGTACCTGTAGTTGTCAACCTTTGCTATTTATGAGGCCGCCGCACTTCCGCAGACGTAGGAGAGACGAACTCCTGGAGCTCAAGGTCAGCAGGGGTTGGGTTCCTGCCGCCGCACATGTGGCCCGCCTGAAATCTGCTACAAAGTAGTGGCGCATCCGCCCGCGCAACTCCAGTGGACAAAGAGCTTATTTATTCATTTTTAAACAGGTTAATTCATAGACATATTGATGTGTATGTGTAATGGATATTCCAAAATTTTCAAAAACACCGGTTAATAGTTTCCTCCACTTCTCTTTTCTCAAACTGTAAATACATTTTTTTTACAGAATTTCCTACCATTGGCAGGAAATAGTTTTAAGTTACATGCTTTCTAAATAAGTATAATTCTGGATGTTATTAAAACCCAATAGCAGTTCTATTTCAGTGACTGGTGCATAGTGAGTATTTTTTGGATAATAATATGTCAGATGATGTACAGGGCACTTGGGATTTCAAAAGAATTGGATAGTGTCCTTACCCTCAAATATCTCACAGAAAACAGAAATTCAACAAATATAATTTATGATCTAATATTGGGGCCAGGATAGAGGTCTGATCCTCATCTATGTCACACTCTTTCCAGCTTCTAAGACCTCGTATATGTTATTCCACTCTGGAAAATTTTAGTTCTACTTTTCACCTAACTCCTACTTATTTGTTATATCTTAGATGGTGTGTCTCTTCCTTTGAAAAGCTATATCTTGCCCCG